GGGGCACTAGCCCTGGCGCTGGGACTTTTGGAGTTTTGGAAATGGCGCTACAGGAAGCGCCCCACGCCACCTATGGCGCTACAGAAATTTACCCCTATAAACGGGGAGTTTCGCCATTTTTGATAAAAATAGAGTTGGGGAGCTCGGTTTGGACGATTTTCAGAGGGTTTTTTCACAAGTTTGAACTGGGTAAGTGTTCTTTATCCTAAATTATTTATATTTCATGATTCCATACTTATTTACATCATGAATCCGTGAATTTAATTGAAGAAAATTAGATTTTTGTAAAATCTTCCAAAAATATAAATGAAGATGTGAAAGGCAATCTGATGTCGGAATTCGATAATTTTTGTATGGTTGAACTCGTATCGGAATGAGTGTTTGGATTTCGTGATTTTTTGCCGGGTCCCGAAAAGTGGGCATCACATTGACTTTTGGTAGAATTTTTAATGTGAATTTTTAAGTCGACGTTTTATTATCCGAAATTATTTCCGATAAATTTTAATGAAGTTATACAATTAGTTTGGATTGATTTGAGCTGTCTGAAGGTCAATTAAAGCAAGAAGGCTATTTTGGAATATCGGCCTAACTTTAAAAAGGTAAGTATCTTGTCTAACCTTGAGTGGGGGAACTCTTAGACATTGAGTCTTATGTGCCATTTGTGAAATGATAAAAGCCGTGTACGCGAGGTGACGAGTATGTACTTGGCTTATATGTGCAAATTATACAAGTTAAAATTCTTAGACACCCTTAAATATTAAATTAAAATTTGTTTGGCACTTACTAAATCCTCTATTTGCCATGTCTCAATCCTTGTTTGTTGAATTTATTTTTATATGATAAATTGGGGTGATTGCCACCTTGATTTTTTTTGTGAATCCTTTTTTTTTGTTGAGTTGATATTTCATGGAGATAATTTTATTATGGATTATTCATTTGCAAATAATTTATTAAGTATGTTTAAAACGAGGCATCAATATATTTATCTAAAATTTGAATTAAAGAAGGCGTTGTCCAATGCTGAGTTACTTTTCCATCATTATTGTTATTTTTGAGATTTTAGATACGTTGTGTGGAGACTTGGGCTATTGGCTGTGAAATTAATTGATTTCGTTGTATCCTTGAAAATGGTTATGGCCTATGGGTAATTTGTGATATGAATTGGTTGTGTATTTACTTTTGGGACTACGAGGCAGTACCTCGGGAGATCCCCTTGTTGCATATTTACTTTTGGGACTATGGGGCGGTACCTCGGGAGATCCCCCTGTTGCATATTTACTTTTGGGATTACGAGGTGGTACCTCAGGAGATCCCTCTGTTGCATATTTACTTTTGGGACTACGAGGCGGTACCTCGGGAGATCCCCCTGTTATGTATTTACTTTTGGGACTACGAGGCGGTACCTCGGGAGATCCCCCTGTTATGTATTTACTTTTGGGACTACGAGGCGGTACCTCGGGATCTCCCCTGTTGTTTACCTCTATTTGCTGTGTTGTTATCTTTATATAATTTCTCATTGTTCATTTCTCAGTCATTTCATTATATTATTATGTCTTCTGCCTTGCGAATTGTCCGTAAAATTGTGATATGAAATGTGGGCACGAGGTGTCATGAGTAAATGATGATAATATTAGCACGTGAGTTATCCGTGTGGTTGTGATATAAATATGGGCACGAGGTGCCGTAGAAATATGAAAGTGGGCTGAGCCACGTATTTTTATGATTATGATATAAGGTGTCACACGGTGACTTTTATTTGAAAGAATTATATTCAAAAATATATTATTTGAAATAATTATAGATGAAAGGTATTTACTTGAAGGGAGTATATTCGAAATATATATTATTTTAAAGGATTGTATTCTAAATATTTTTATACTAAAAACTTATATTTGAAAGATTTATACTGGAGGTACTTACATTTGAAAAACGTATATTTGAGGGACTCAATTAATTGGTTGTATTTGTGTTCCTTATTCGTTTGAGTAATATTTATGGGTTCTTGTTGCCTCGCTGTTTATATCGCTAGTTGATTTTTGTTGCTGTCACTGTTAGTTATTTTCGAGTACTATTGTATACTGCTATATTGCACATGTTATTTGACTAGTGAGTGTCTTGACTGTACCTCGTCACTACTCCACCGAGGTTAGTCTTGATACTTACTGGGTACCGACCGTGGTGTACTCATACTATACTTCTGTATATTTTTGTGCAAAGCCAGGTATTGGAGATATCAGACTCGGACTTAGTTAGTGTGTTGATTGCAAAGATTTAAGGTAGAGCTGCTTGGCCGTCGCAGTCCCTTGGAGTCTTTTCATTTTTATTGTACTGTCATCTCTTATTCGAATAATATTATATATTCGGTACTTGTATTAAATTATATGTTTAAAAAAAATAGCTCAAAATGTAATTATAATCGGCTTGCCTAGTCTTAGAGACTAAGTGCCATCACGATGTTTGTGGTGGAATTTTGGGTCATGACATTATTGGACTTAGAATTATATTGAAAAGTTTTGATTTTCAGAAACTTACCCGAGTTTGCATCGAATATTTTTAGCTGGATCTTTTATGATTTTTGTGCATGATGCTGATTGTTTTAGTTTATATTGTTCCTTCCCTTCATCGTTTGTTGACTTGTTTTCTTTCGTCTAGGGAAGGTGGTTGTCTTCCATCAATCGTCCTCTCCTTCCTTAGTGCTTGTTCCTGAATTTTCAGGGGCTTCTTGTGACAGTGTTGGTTGAAATTTTTTGAAATTGTAATTTTTTGTTGTATGGCCAATTCTTCCACATGTTGTACATAACGTACCTTCACCTTCATAAATCACTGCTTGCTTATGGTCGCCAATGATTACTGATGTTTTCATTGGGTTTCAAGGGGTACTTGGATACAGATGCGTGCATATCTTCCTCTCAACATGAAGGAGGTGCATGAATCAATTTTGAGTAGTTTGCCCAGTTTTCTACCAACCTTTTTCAATATTTCTTTGTCATAAAATTCTGTTGGTAGTTGGGGTAGGCGAATCCACATGGCTGTGGAAGAGAGAGTAGCTTCTTGTGGGACGAATTTTGGTTCCCATATACGTACTGATATGAAATTCCCAGAGACGAACCATGGCCTTAGGTGTAGTGCCTTAGCCATATTTTCCTCTAGACTAAATTTGACAATGAAGAAGTCCCATCCTAGGTCAATCAAGATTAACTGTTCGGATGGTTTTCATAGATCAATTAGTTTAGATCGAAGGTAATGGTGAGGCATTCTATGACAAAATACCTTTATGATTACTGAGAAACGCCATGGTTGATACATGCGATTCTTGTCTTCTTGTGAGAGGGCGACTGAGCCTTCAATAATTTTTCCTTTATCATTTTGATGATTTGGGGGATCCTCGTTGTAGTACTCCGTTTGGCTTACTGCCTGCTTGTCAAGTAGCATTTTCTTATAGGAGTATGGTGTTGTTTCTGCTACATCCATTTAGCTATTTATGCCCGGTGGTTCCGGTGGTATAATTGGTGGTGTAGTGGTTGTGTCCATGAAGGTATTCTTAGAGAGATGAGAGTGTTACTTTGTCTAAGGACTCGTTTGGCCATAGATTTTGCCAAAATAAACTTGGGTTTTATTTGGCAAACACATATTTGGCCATAGATTTTGCCTATATTTTGGCCAAATTTCAAATCCCAAAACCAGCTCAATAGCTGGTTTTGGGCCAAAATATCACTATTATATTTTTTAAAAATTGCCCCAAACTTTTATATTTTATAAAAGAGCCCACTATTTATTATTTTGTAACGATGTTGCTTCGTCTTTTCGGTCATCTGATAGTGTATCATGTAGTTCATTATAAAAATGATAATTTTGTATCAAATTTATTTATGTTCAGGACTATGGTTTGTAATAATATAATGAATGTTATTGATAATGATACTGTTGGGTATTTGTGATAGTTTTTAGAACTTGTGGGTATAAGTCATGTTTCATATTTCTCCAAACCAAACTTCACCCAAAAGAGATGTCCAAACACATTTTCATCTTTAAACCGAACTTCACCAAAATTAGATTTTTCAGAATAAATTTGGAAATCTATGGCCAAACGCTAGCTAAGTTTAGGCACACAAAGTCTATTTCTATATCATGGTAAATGTACATAGTTACATTTATTTTCTGCTATATAAGTCTTGTAATACATAAAATGATTGCACTTTTGATTACTCAATTATGGATAAATTTTTATTTTGATCAGTGTAACGTTTGACTAAAAAGGGCAATTCAGTGCACTAAGATCCCGTTATGCGCATGGTCCGAAAAAGGGCAAGACCACAAGGGTCTATCATATGCAGCCATACCCTACGTTTATGCAAGAGGCTATTTAATCTTGAATTCTCTAAAATTTGTGTTGTTGGTCTTCTTACGTCGGATAAATGTTATTATTATGTTCTTTACAACTATTTTACTTTCAAATATGAAATAACAATACAAAGTTAGCATAACACAGGCACTACGCACTATTAAATGGTTTATTTATAATGATTCGCTAGAAGAAGAATACATTCCAATTAACGGGATGTTAAATGTACTTAACCAACTATTACAAGGACTAACATATGAGTCTGTCAATGTTTAGGGAATTGTATGACAAGAAAACATACAAAAGTCACGTAGTATGTAATTAAACTGAAAATTTGCACCATGTTGACAGCCTGCAAACATACCCCACAACTCTCGTACTGAACTTGTAAATATTTCCCAGATCTCATGCCTTCTCTCCTAGGCCCATTGCCGCATTCCAAGATTTTACACGTTCTCTCTCCCCCCCCCCCCCA